ATGGGCAGTCAACTTCAGATGACTTCAGGGAATCATCCCGAAGCCAACGGACAGGCCGAACAAATGAATAGAGTTGTACAACACTTGTTGAGGCATTACATCAAGCCCAGCCAGGATGACTGGGATGAGCAAGTTACCTCTCATCGCCAGCCTGTACAACAATGCTATACATAGCAGTACCGGCGTTAGTCCTAACCAGCTGCACGTCAGCACTAGACTTCCTCCTACCTGAAAACCGACCCGCTGCAACTCCAGGCACACTTGAAGACGGTGTGCAATATGAGAAATTGTTGCAAGAGGCTGTTGAACATATGAAGAAGGCTCAGCAAGCCATGATTGCTTCTGAGAATCAACATCGCAGACAGTCCACATTTCAGGTAGGGGAACGTGTTTAGGTAAAGGCTAGTGATTTAGGACAGGAGTTCGGAATATCTCGCAAACTAATGCCTCAGTACTTTGGTCCCTGGGAAGTCTTGGATGTAGTGGGAGATGAAATGGATGGTCCTACATACGTCATTCGTGTCCCTCGACACCTACGCACTCACCCAGTCTTTCATGCCTCAAAGCTTGCACCTGTCGCCGAGACTGATCAATTCCCTTCCAGGAGATCGATGCTGCCCCCAACCATGGATGGACATGTCGACATCGACGACATTGTGGATCACAGGGATATGCATGTTCCGAAGCCGCTGGGTCGAGGAAGACCTCCTAAACCCAAGAGGGAGTACCGGATCAGATTCAGGCATCATACGGATCCAAAGGAAGATCGGTGGTTTACCCGGGAGGAACTGATGGAAACAGCTCCTCAGGTGGTGGCAGATTATGAAAGGAAGCTAAAAGGGAAGACACCTAAGAAGTAAGCATCTCCGCGGACTTTCGAAGCTAAGGGGGATGGAATGTGAGGATTGAGCCCTCAAGTAGGGGCCTTGCCATGATGTACATGTTCTGGGCTAAGGCCCCAGCAAGCCTCGTGCCCGCCCTAAGTGAAGGCGGCCAGCAAATCGACAAGAGCCCTCTGTGCCAACATTTCACGAAGTGGGGTCCATACAGTTGCAGCACGCCAGTTGGTTGGAGTGCACCGAGTCTCGGATTTCAGCAAATGCTGAAAGCCCAGGGCCTCTGAGTTAGCTAGGCCCTGGGCACTCAAACGTGAGGCCGACAATGCGTGCTGGGTATAGAGGCCGAAAATGCCAAAGGGAAAATCGGCCCACTATCTGAATCTGGCCGCAGGCCTTGATGAAAGAGGCGCAACTGCATTGCCCCGGGGCCCAACTGTATCGGGTTGGGTTCAGCCTCTGCGTCCCGGTCACAGGCTGAAGGGAGGCCGCCCACACGCTTCACTGGCATATAGGCAAGCACGGCGAGTGAGCAGGGATCTTGGCCATTGCGGGCAATGCCGGCACGCTGCGCTAATGCGAGCTGCTGCTGCGCTGCGCTAAGAAAGGTGCAAGGCAGGCTAGCGCTAGGCGGTAGAGCGCTGCCTGCGCACCAGGGCACTGGCGGCCATAGCCGAGCCGCATGAGGGTGCAGTGAGGGTGAAGGGCGAAGGTGGTCTTCAGAGGTGAAGGGCACTGTGTAGGTAACAGGGAAGAGTGTGGGTGAAGAGGACACGTACCTGGTGGAGGTGGAGGTCGGCATTGGTGTTGACATCATCACTCGCTGGTAGTCAAGTTGTCTGGTTGCTTTCATTGCTGTAGTTGTAGGATAGGTTGTAGAGTAGATAGGGCGCCTGGAGACATTCACAAGAGAGAACCACATTTGGGTTATGCTGTTGGTGTTGTCCTGTTGGGCATGGACATTGACTCACGATTCTTCTGTATCATTCTCAATTGGATGGTTACTCGGTTCCATTGTACTATCTGCTTTGGCTTTGACTACTTGGACTTCAGTGTGATTTTGCATTCTGGATTTCTGTGCTTCGTCCATATTCATGTTCCTTGCAGATACAAGTTTGGTTGTCACTTACCTGTGCAGTGTGCCGTGCAGTCCCACGAAGTGAGAGGCGGCCATATCAGCGGAGCTCGACCACAGAGAGCGAAGGAGGTTGAAAGAGAAGGTGGAGGAGGAGACAGAAGGGAGAGAAAAGCCATAGCCGAGATGGAGAAGAGAGAGAGGCGATCGAAAAAAAAAAAAAAGGAGAAAGAAGACAGCCGGGTTGAAGAGAAAGGTGGTGAGGAAGGAGAAAGGAAGGAGAAGGGTGGTGAGTGCGAGGCCATTGCCTCTAAGAGCCCCATAACGCCCCATTTTCGCAGCCCGTCGGCCGCCCTAAGTGAAGGCAGGCTCGACTAGGCCCTCACGGCCACGCAACTCAGGGAAATTCAGGCAGTTGCGCAGCGCCAGTTGGTTGAGTGAACCCAGGCCCTGGGCCGCCTGTGTTAATGTACGTGAAGCAGGTCCTGGGCTGGATACGGGTACCGGGCCAAACACAGGCCGAAAGCAGTTGGGCACATGCAACCACTTTAGGCCCAAGGCCTGCTGTCCTCGAGCTGGGCCTTAGGTTGCCGCGGCCTACTAGAAGCTTCCTGGACTAGACACAAGCAGGCCACTTGGATATAGGAAAGGGCCTGCCTCCTCATTCGGGATTCGGGTGCTGGCTGCATGCTGCGCAAGCGCTGCTGCTGCGCTATTTGCTGGTTGGCGCCTACGCTCTCACGGGCGAGCAGGGAAGGAGCACACAGCCATAGCCGAGCTGCGCTGCTGTAAGCTGGGTGAGGCGCAGGGTGGTCCTTGGGTGCTAGTGGCATCTGTGCGTTGAGGTTGTGAGTGTAGCGCGAGACATACCTGGTGCTGGAAGCGTGCGACATTGGTCGCCATATGCTCGTACTTCGGGAATGCTGTTGATGTCATCTTCCGGCTTCATAGTATAGGCTAGATAGGATCTGCCACATGTAGTCTAGGCACCGAGCGCCAGATAGGATATCAACTCTGGTTCTTCGTTGATGATGATGGGAATATTTCAGTATTGTCAATTATGAGATCTTGGTGTGTTCTTATTTGGTGAATCTCGTGATGCAATGCTGCTGTTGGTTCGAGGTCAAGACTATCTGGACTCATATGCATGATGTTGTTTGATTGCTGAAGTTTGCTATTGCTCATCTTCCTTGCAATTTGGTTTCGGAGCTGTGGTACGATTGCGCTCATCTGGCGCTTGTCTTCTGCCTTATGTGGTACATACATGCGGTCTGCTGGGCAAGTTTGGCCGTAAGTGGTGTGTAGTGAGGAGGGTGGAGACGAGTGTGTTGGCGACCCAGGAGGTGAGGGGATCGCCAGGAAGGCTACGTGAGGTGAAATGTGGTCTGGACAGTGTGATGAGAACTATCTAATGTGCGATTGATGCTGAGGTGGAACGGCGAGATAATGCTGGTTGTGCCGATGCAGTGACTGGTCATCGCAATCGTGGTCATCTGGTGAGATTATCTCTGTGGTTCGGGGCAGCTAATTGAGGTACGTTGCTCTTAACCTTATCTTCCCTCTCCGACACTTCTTACCGTGAGGTTGTGTGTTCCTTCTTGAGAGTACTCTCATTGTGAGGTGTTGAGTGCGCTCAACCTTGAGAGTCGGCAATGTTCACGTGGAGCACCTGGGTGGAGATCGGCGGAGCTTTCTGAAGGGCCCTGGACGAAGCACTGGGTCACGGTCACCATGCCAACCCACAGGGAGTAGAGCACGCATGCCTTGCTGCTTGTCCTTTGTTCGGCTTGCTGCGTTGTTAGATGGGTACTATTGGGCAGGCCAGCCCTACAGGAAAGACGAGCACTCGGCGTCTATAAATAAACACGGGAAGGGGATATCACTGGCTGTGATCGTCATCCTGCTGCGACGTAAAATAATTCCTGATGTTACTTGGGGGCGGACGTTAAAATGCCTCTGGATCAGCCAGCGATGTAAGGCTCGCGGCACGCCGTGGATAAATATACGTGCAAGGCTGGCCGGCTCAGTGGATACTCGGGGCACAGGGGTGGGCCGGACACACACCTTTAGACACGCGACGCTCTCCAGATCGCTCAGGGACGCTGACGTCAAGAGATACTCAGGGGAACTAAAGGGAGGGGTTGATTCCAGGTGATAAGTTCGAGAAAATTCCATGCTGTCCTATACACAAATGATTCTGTTTTTATGTTTTGATTAGTTAGGTGTACAGCCATTGACATCTAACAGACAGCATTAGTTAGATCTGTTTATTGTTTCTGGTGCTTCTGTCTGCGGACTGGTCAGACTAAAAATAGTTTTGTTTGAAGGAATCTGATTTACCTGTTGACCTCAAGTGATATCTGTTCCAAAATAGCCACCAATTAATTAGTTGGTCTGTGCACTCTGTTGCAGTAGGCATCTTGAATAATCTAGTGTAGACAGTGCACAGTGTTGTAGCCTAGGAGCGACGAGGAGGACACTAGAGAGGACGACCGGATCTTGCGATCGGCGAGGCGCCCAGTAGCCCATTTGGCATTAGGACCGGAGGGTGACAGACATTTGTTCCGCCAGCTTAGGGAGAGGCGGCAGCAGCAGAGGAAAGCTAGAGCAGCAGAGGCCAGCAGGGCTTTAGCTAGCGAGGCCGGTGCTACAGCAGCCATGGCTACTACCGCCATGGTCACTTCTGCGCAGCAGACTTCCCAAGCCAGTAGTTCAGGTGCAGTCGGGTCAACTGTCGCGCAGACCGTAAGTCAGTCCACTGGCGTTATGGCAAGCCAGGCATTAGTGTTGACTCCAGAGGATATGTCGCCATCCAGCAGGCATCCCTGCAGGAGGCACAACTACAGTGGGCATTAGGAGAGATAAAAGCGGAGTAGGAGAAGATGATTAGGAGAAGAGCTAGGATGCAGCGGAGAGCGGCAGACATAGAGGAGCAAGAGACGATGGACCTGGCGAACATGGATGATGATGTGAGGGTAGTTAGGAAGGCCATGTTAGGAGTAATAGAGATGCAGGAGCACCAGACTACCATCCTTCAGGACATTCAGCAGAGCCTAGCCATTCTGGTAGGGCGTTCTCAGGTGGCACCATCACCACCCGGGCCTGGTGCCTGGCTTGTGGCATATCCTCCTTTTTCTGTCCCACCGGTGACAGGGGTATCCCCATATGTAGCCCCGTCATCGGTTGCTATCGTTTCCCTGGGCATGCCGCTGTCAGGAGGGGTAACAGCAGGGAGTAGTTTGCAGGTTTTTGTTAAGACAGTGTTTACTCAAAATTCGTCGCAGGTTGCAGTCACCACGCAGCATGCTGTCTCGCCTGTGCCGCCACAGGGCACACAACCCCAGCAATTATCACAGCAACCTGTATCACCGGGTCCACAGCCCGGAGTGGTGCAGGGACCGGGGCAAACACAGTGGGTTCCAAAGACTGCCATCGCCGCTCCCAAACTTTTCACAGGGGATAAGAGAGGCGAAGACCTCAACGCGTGGTTGAGGGCAGTGTCGGTCTACGTCAGGTGTAAACTCACCTTGCCGCACGAAGAAGTGCTTGTGGCTGCATCATGCCTAAAGGGTAGTGCAGCAAGATGGTTGAGCGGTTTAGTGCAGCTCCAGGGATATGGTCATGACTTCCGCACTTGGGCAGCCACCCAGAAACTGGATGACTTCCTGAAGATGGTGGAGGAAAGGTGGCATGATCCTCAGGAGGCCCAAAGCGCTACTGATGCGATCATGACACTGCACACGCGGCAGTTTAAGTCAGTAAGGGAAGCCACCGACGCTGTTGAGCGTCTGATCTGTCTTCCTGGGGTGCGCTATGACCCCCAGGTTCTCCTTACCTCGTACTTGAGATGCTTTTCACAGCCTCTCAGGAACCAGTTGGCAAGGGAGGCCAACATCAATATGCACAACTTCCCTTCGTTCAGCAAGTTGGCCCTAGACCTTGAGCGAAGATAGGGCATGGACAGGCACCCACTACGGATGGGAGGAAGAAGACACTGCCTCCCAACTGGAAGGTGAAAGGTCGCCTGATGTTTGTCGATAATGATGGTTCCACTATCGAGGTAGACGAACACTTCTAGGAGGGAGTAGGTTCAGAGGCGGGCAGCGTAGAAGCTTCAGAGGGTGGAGTAGTCGCTGCCGTTACTCAAAAAGGCAAGGCGGCCGGCAGACGCCGCGGAGCCTCCCGGTCAAGGAGTCAAGTTGACCCCAATGCTCCTCCATGGGAGAAAGCGGGTCTTACCGGGGACGTGTGGAGAGATCGGTACTCACGGCAAGCCTGTATTCGTTGTGGCCAATATGGCCATAGTCAGTACAAGTGCCGCAACAAGAAGGTAACCGAAAAGATCCCGCCTCCGATGGGGCAGGTGTTGGGATCCTCTCATCCCGTTGGAAGCAATGTTGCCAGTACTTCCGGCACTGCTCTGGGAAACACGTCGGGCAAGTAGGAATAGTAGTTGTTCCTGCTAGGGTCGAGGTGGTGGAGACACCCTCACCATCTCGAGAGATGGCCCAAGCTACTGACTCCCATGTCGTCCCGCAAACACATTCAGACCCATCGAGCCTCTGTTCCATGAATGTGTTTGAGTCCTTAGAGGAGCTAGAGGTGGAGTGGTCTAGATTAGACCCACTAGCTTCTTGGACGGCCCTAGTCAAAGCCCCTAAGGGTGAGATGTTCGTCAGCGAGGTTGTCATTGGCGGCCTCAAGGCCGGGGCCTATCATGACACTTGCTCGACTCGGAACTTTATTAGTCGCGTGTGCGTTGAAAGACTGCGCTTACAGGGGCGAGTGCAGGGCCTGAGTCGACCTGTGGAGTCGACCTGTGCCAACAAACAGCGCATGGTAGTTAACGACTACCTCCAGGATGTAGAGTGTTGTTTCCCGTACGTGGGAGGGGACTTGAGACACCATGTCTCGTTCCTAGTGACTGACGAGCTCCCAATGGACATGTTACTAGGTATGTACTACCTCTCTGTAGCACAGCCCCAGTTTGACTGGGACCAAAAAGTGGTCAAACACAACTTGCCAGCTGGAGGGACCGCCAAATTACATAAGTTCAAAGCTAGTAGTCTGATTGAGTCCTATGGGTGCATGTGTGCGGCCGCGTTCTACAATTATTATAAGCAAAATCAGGAGGAGGGTATGTATTTAGTCTATGTCTCTGCTGCAGGCGAGTCGGTGAAAATGCCGCCGGAGATAGAGGGAGAAGTTGCTAAGTACCCTGATCTATTTGAAGAGCCAACAGGGGTTGTTGAGAGGGAGGTCGTCCACGCGATAGAGATTATCCTAGGGTCTAGTATTCCGAAGGGTAGGATCTATCGGATGTCTCCAAACGAGCTTGATGAGCTTCGCCGCCAACTCAAGGAACTCGTAGAGAAGGGTTGGATCCGGCCGAGTGTCTCTCCTTATGGGTCTCCAGTTCTATTCGTGCCTAAGAAGGAGGGTACTCTAGGATGTGCATTGACTATAGGGGCCTCAATGCCATCACTGTAAAGAACAGAGAGCCCCTGCCGCGTATCGACAATCTACTAGATAGAGTGCAAGGGTGTCGGTACTTTAGTAAAATAAATTTGAAGTCCGGGTACCATCAGATTGCAATTCAGCCCGAGGATCAACACAAAACCGCCTTTCAGACCAGGTACGGTCTGTACGAGTTGTGGTGATGCCTTTCGGCCTTTGCAATGCTTCTGGCACCTTTCAACACGCTATAAATCGGATATTCCATGACTACTTAGATAAGTTTGTCATTGTGTACCTCGATGACATACTTATTTTCAGTAAGACTGTCGAGGAGCACGTGGCGCATTTGGACAAAGTCCTCAGCCTCCTGCGACAGCACAAGTTCAAGATCAACGGTGAGAAGTGCGAGTTTGGCCGCACCCGTGTCTTGTACTTGGGTCATGAGATTTTCGCGGAAGGGTTGAAGCCCGATGACGCTGAAGGTGGCCAGCATTCGTGATTGGCCACGTCCTCAGTTTGTGACTGAGATGAGATCTTTCTTGGGAATGACAAGCTACTTAGGACTTTCATTAAGAACTATAGCATAGTGGCCGCTCCTTTGACTGATCTGACCCGCCTTGACACCCCATGGGAGTGGACAGATGAGTGCGAGGTTGCTTTCAGACATGTGAAGCATGCGTTGACGCACTACGAGGTCTTGAAACTTCCTGATCCTGACAAGCCGTTCATAGTCACCACGGATGCCAGCCAATATGGCATTGGCGCCGTGTTCGCGCAACAGGAGGGGCCAAAGTTGAGGCCAGTAGAGTACCTGTCCAAGAAAATGTCGTCTCATAAGTTGGCTAAGTCCACCTATGAGAAGGAACTCTATGCGGTGTACAAGGCTCTGACCCATTGGAGACACTTTCTCCTTGGGAGGTTCTTCATCCTCAGGACTGATCATCAGACCCTGAGATGGATGAGAACCCAGCCAGTACTCTCTGACGCTCTCAAGCGTTGGATCGAAGTCATTGAGCAATATGACTTTGACCCTCAGTATCTCAAAGGGGAGTACAACAAGGTTGCTGATGCCTTGTCGTGCAGACCGGACTTCTCAAGTGCGCTGGTTACTGAGTTCGATCTTGCGGACAATGTTACTCAATCCATGGTGGAAGCCTATCGCGAGGACCAGTTCATGTCTGAGATCATACGCAGGCTTCAGGCGAAGGACAAGAGGACTTCTGCTGAGTTTGAGTTAGTCAAGGGCTTGCTGTTTCTCGAAAAGGCAGGCAATAAAAGTCTGTGTCCCGAATAGCGAGTCTTTGCGTAATTTATTCTTAGGAGAGTGTCATGATGCCACCAGACATTTTGGCTTTAAGAAAACTGCAGCTAATCTGTTGCAGCGGTTCTGGGCAGCTAATCTGTTGCAGCGGTTCTGGTGGCCCACGATGATGAGAGACGCGAAGTTGTACGTGGAGACTTGTCAGGTCTGTCAAAGAGACGAGCCACGTACTCATGCTCCTCTTGGGCTCCTTAAGCCCCTTCCGATTCCGGAAAGGCCTGGTGAGAATCTGTACATGGACTTCATGGATACGCTGGTCACCAGCAAGAATGAAGAGGGAGAAAAAGAGGAGGGAGGAAGTTAATCGGCTGACCGCAGAGGTGGAGAAGGTGAGAGCCTGTAGACAAGAAGTGCAGGCGCAGGCAAATGTTTCTTCCAAGATGGATAAGATGCTGGGGTATCTAGAAGTATTAAGTGAGGCCTGGCTGGAGGAATGCCAAGCCAATTGGGGTCACGATGTGGCCCTGAATGCCATGCGGTCAGGATTTCGAGAGTTTGCGCGCGACATGGTTACCCACGTTGGGGCCGAGGTCAGGCGGTTGAAAGATAACGTGGGGAAGTTATGTGAAGGCGCCATTGAAGGCGCCAAAGCAATAGCCACCGTCGAGGGCGAGGCCAAACCCCGTACGGAACCAGTTAAGCTTAAGTTCCCAGACGCGTACATCGGGAAGCCTAAGGAGAATTTCGATAACTGGGAGGCTAGTGTAAACAATTATGTTTACTTACAGCATATCGTACAGGACGATCAGGTCCTTGTAGCCTTCCAAGCCCTCAAGGAGGAAGCGGCTAGTTTTGCTAGGTCCCTCGCGCGCGCGGCCGGTTGCGAAAACAACATGGTCGCTTATTCCAAAGTCACTCCCCTCCCTCAATTCTTCAAGCTCCTTAGGGAGCGGTTTGCTGATCTTCGCGGGGGCGTAAGAGCCTCTGACAAACTCCAAACCATCCACTCACGTCAATGGAGGAGTGCCAGGGCACTCAAAGCCGTTATGGACGACCTGGTGGCCGTCCCGGACCATGGGGTGACTGAGTCCCAACTGGTCCAACTGTTCTATCGTGCCATGCCAGAGCCCTTACGAGGGCACTTCTTTGACAAGTCCCAACAGCCCACTATGATGTATGATGCGCTCAATAGAGAAGTGGTGCTGTTCGAGGCAAAGTCGATGCCAGTTTCCACTTTCTGGCACAAAGACTTAGATAAGGGCAAAAAGTGGAAAGGTCGTACCATCTCTGGCCAAGTCAGGGCCAAGGATCATATGATCCTTACGTTGGAGGAAGGTGGTATTGACGAGGTCCCGTACAGTCAGATTGAGTGGGGCCTCGAGAAGGAGGACAGTAGCGTGGGACAGGGGAGGTCCTATGCTGCTGTCGCAGCTGAATGGAGGCCGCAAGGTAGAGGAGGAGGCCAGGGCCAAAGGGGCCAGGCCATGGGAGGCCGAGGATCGGGCGCACAGGGGGTTGGTGGTCCAGGGAACCGTCAAGCGGGAGGTAGGGGTCAAGGTCCCCCGCCGAATCGCCAAGGTCCTAGTCGGTCCCCACAACGACGAGGTGGCAGGTCACCTCAAAGGTCAGGAGGTTGGCACCCAGGCTGACCGCAAGGCTGGCCCTAGACCAGAATGTATGGCAACAGCGGATGGAGCAGGGGCAGTGCATTTACTGTGGTGACTCTGCCCACATCATAAAATATTGTCCTAAGTATAGACAGGCCCGGTGGGCTGCCCAGGAGTCAAAAGGCATCCGCTGGTAGGAGTCACAACTGCCCCTACTCTTAGGCCATGTGGGAAGCGAGCGCACGCATAGAGGAAACTTCCACACCACATGAGCCTTCGGTAGAGGTTGCAGGCCCGTGCCTAGTTCGCTGTCCAGAGACTGCTTGTGTCAACGTCTCTCTAGGCACGTCCCTCACAGGCGTGGCAGAAGAATTGAAGGAGAGGATGCCTGCCTGGGCCAAAATGAAGAAAGACAGTAAAGAGCAGCTAGTGCTAGTAGATGTAGAGGTTTTCAGGAGTAGAGTTGGGGCCTTATAGACTCAGGGGCCACCCGGAGTTACATTAGTCGTAGGGCGCTGAAAAAGTTGAGGCTAGGGTTAAAAGTCTAGAAGTTGGAAGACCTCATAGTTAGTGTCCTCGCAGACAACCGCACTATGCGTGTCGAGGACTACGTAGAGGTAAAGGTCCTGCCTTGGACTGAGGTATTCTCGGAGGACCTCGAATTTAGGCCGGCGGGAGTGAAACGGTATTCACCAGCTTGCAGTAGCTGACGCAGATCCCAGGGTTCGATCCCAGGGTTCGATCCCAGGGTTCGATCCCAGGGTTCAATCCCAGGGTTTGATCCCAGGGTTCGATCCCTAGTCCCCACCTTGCTTGTGTACAGTATCTGTGTCGCCCCCTAGAGTTGAACCCGTGACCTGTGTATTTGTAATAGTGGTAGGCTGTCGTAGGGTCCAGGGGTCACAAGGGTTCGATCTGTAGACCTGTCGAGTAGGAGCCTTAGTCAGGTTTGGAGGTCGTAGTTGTAGTTTTCCCGAAAGGCCAAGGTCGTAGCTGCTACAGTCCAGAAGGGTCACAGTCGTAGCTGCTACAGTCACGAAAGGCCAAGTCTACAGCCTTCCGGAAGGACCCATAAGTGGCCTTTCGAAGTTGCCCACGTTTAGACTGAGGCAAGTGGGCAATTGGTGAGGCAAGTGGTGGAGTCTGCCCGTGCTGAGTCAGCAGTCCCAGTCCTAGGCAGTCCTGTCCCAGTCAAGCAAGTACCGCATGGGACTGTGTGCACGTCGAGCATGCGGAAGGGCCAGACCAACGAGCTGCAAAAGTATAAATCAAGAGGCAGCGCCCAGCCAATCATTCGTTCTTGTGTGAGCCATGAGGAAGCGCTGCCACAACGACTTGTGCAAGGAGGTCTGCAGTGAGCCTGAAGACGAAGTGGGCAGAGAGACGGAGTTTAGCCATAGCGATAGGGTAGAGGCGGCCATAGCCGCCATGGCTGTAGTTGGTGTTCAACGTGTGTGTGTGTGTGAGGGTTCAGAGAGACGTGTGTGGGATATCCAGGGTGATCCACTATATGCGAACAGAGAGTTGGATGGGCGCTTTGTCGCCATAGCCATTGGAAGTGAACTCGTATCTGGGTGACCATATCTCTGAGTACTGAGTGGGCGTGTGTCGCCAGTTTGCTTCGCTACTGTTTGCATGCATGTAAAGTGTGAATGAAAGTGAGTCTGATTGCAGCGCAGCAGCGCTTGCGCATAAGCAGTGAGTGCCCGAATGCCAAATGAGGAGGCATGCACTTTCCTTTATGGAAGTGGCCTGCCTACCGCGAGCTGCCTGGTTGCGCCGGGTCCCTGCCGAGAAGCTTCCAGTAGGCCCCAAGTGCCTAAGGCCAGAGTATTCCGCAGGGCCCCCGGTGGTTACGCGTGTCCAACTGCCAAGTGTGCTGCGTGCAGTTTGTGCCCCGTGTCTAGGAAGGGCCTAGAAGCCCTTGACTGGATACTGTTGCCCACGACCTGGGTTCATTCAACCAACGGACGCAGCAGAACTCTCTGAGCCTCACTTTGCGAAAAAGGACAAAATAGGCCTCATGTAATTTTACAGGGCCGCCTTCACTTAGGGCGCCCATCCTTGCTGAGAGGCCCTGGATGCTCAGGGCGGGCTGTGGCCTCGCATTCCCTCCTCCATACTTCGACAGTCCTCTGAGAAGTTCAGTCACTCAATCTGGCGCTTTCCTTTCTGCAATGCCTTCTTATAGTGAGCAACAACCTGTGGAGCGGTCTGCATCAGTTCCTCTCTTCTGAACCATCTGTCCTCCTTAGGATCAGTGTGATGTCTAAACCGAACGTGATACTGTAGCTTCGGCTTGTGAGGACGGCCCCTGCCAGTTGATCTTGGAACCGGCATTTCCCTGGGATCAACAATGTCGTCGATGTCGACCTCTCCATCCATGGTTGGGGGCAGCATAGACTGACGAGAGGGAAACTGATCAATTTCGTGGAAAGGTGCAAGTTTGGAGTTGTGGAAGACAGGGTAAGTGTGAAGGTGACCAGGGATCTGTATTACATAGGAAGGCCCATCGGGATCATCTCCGACAATGTCTAGAACCTCCCATGGTCCGAAGTACTGTGGCATGAGCTTTCGGGAAATCTCGTGCTCTTGCTCGAGTTCGGATGCCTTGACCCAGACTCTATCCCCAACCTGGAACGTAGAAGGGTGGCGGTTTTTGTTTTCCGACTCTATCATCGCCACCTGGGCTTTGTGCATGCTGTCCACTGCTTGCTGCATAAGACTTTCATATCGGTAAGCGAACTCCAAGTTACCCGGCAACAGTGGATTGGTTCTCAGGTAGTAAGAAATCTAGAGGCATTCGAGGCTTAAAAGTTAGGAGCAGACTGTTGGGGCTCACCCCTGTCGCGCTGTCCACAACGTTGTTGAACAGGCTGGCGATGAGAGCAAGCTTCTCATCACAGTCCACCTGATTAGGCTTAACGTAGTGCCTCAGCAGGTGTTGTACAGTGCGGTTCAACTGCTCTGCTTGTCCATTTGCCTCTGGGTGGTTCCCGGAGGTCCTCTGCAGTTGAGTCCCTTGTTCAGCAGCTGCAGCCTTTCACAGCTTACTCGTGAATCGTATCCCGCTCACTAACGATGGACTTTGGCAGGCCAAAGTCGCTTACCCAGTTCTCTTTAAATAGTCTGATTATGTACTCCGTCTTTGGTGTTTCGGGCATAGAAACTAACCTAGCATACTTATTGAACCTATCCACAATGACAAAGACATATCTCATACCACTCTTGCTGGTGACCAGCGTATCCATGAAATCCATGGACAGGCTCTCACCAGGCCTTTCCGGAATTGGAAGGGGCTTGAGTAGCCCAAGAGGGGCCTGTGTACGTGGCTTGTCCCTCTTACACACCTTCTGACACACCTGACAAGAACTGCTGCAACAAGTTAGCTGCAATCTTTCTGTAACCAAAATGTCCGTTGGCATCGTGACACTCTCCTAAAAATAAACTACGCAAGGACTCTCTATTTGGCACACACAAACATTTATTCCCGAGATTCTCAAGGAACAGCAGGCCATTGACCAACACAAACTCATCCGAAGTCACCTTGTCTTTCGCCTCGAGTCTGTGTATGATCTCTGCCATGAACGTCTAGGAAAGTCTTTGGGGTTACTATATAGAATTCCAACCTGACGGTTACCCGGGAGTGCCTTTTCCACTCACTGATTTTTCCAAATCTTCTACAGTTTGGTCAGTGATTCCAAGCGGAATTTTGTCTGGTTTCGTCTTCGCCATGAAAAAGCGATGTCCTATACCCCTAGACGAAAGGGACTAATGAATGTGCTTGTCGCTCAATTGGATAGAGCACCAAACTACGGATTTGGGGGTTGAGAGTTCAAGTCTTCCCAGCATGGGCCTATAACTCAGTTGGTTAGAGTATACGCCTGATAAGTGTAAATTCAGTAGTTCAAATCTACTTAGGCCCACTCTGCTCTGTTGGAGAGCCGCGCTCGCAAGAGCATTTTCTTTTCTTTTATTTGATTTTCTTTCCTCCGGCCTCTCATCTCATGGCGAGCGCACCACAAAATGGATTGATGGCGGAAATACCTTAATGGTAGAGTATAGCCTTGCCGAGGCTAAGGTTGAAGGTTCAAATCCCTTTTTCCGCTCGTCAACTCCATTCGCTGCGTGGCCAAGAAAAAAATGGAGCCGACACCACCCCACCCTGGGGTGGGTAGGAAAGATAAACGCTTCGCGGCGGTTGTGTCACCAAAGGCCACGAAGTGGGAGAAAGTGGTTAATGAAGATTTAAAGCGTCACTTAGGTAAATACATATTAGAATAGTAAAAACATAAGCTTGTAATGCAACAACACCTATCTAACCCGGTTAATGCGAAAACAATGAGAAAAGATGCAAGATGAGCCAAATACATGATACCTCCCATAGACAACATAGTCCAAGCAAAACCACTCAAAATCTTCACTAAACTATGACCAGCCATCATATTGGCAAATAATTTGAAATAAACGTATTCCCAAACTTAGTACGCGTGCAAGGATCTGGGTCCTCGGCAGACCTAAGGGGGCCCCTGCTGAAAATGTGCCCGCCCTAAGTGAAGGCGGGCCTAACAAATCCCGAGAGGCCCTAAGCTGCCAAATTCGTATTTGGGGTCCAGACAGGTTCGTCGCGCCAGTTGGTTGAGGAAAACACAGGCCGAGCAACAAGGAGATTTCACGACCTTCTAGGCTTTTCCAAAAGTGCAGGCCCTGGGCGAGATTCGCAGCCTCATACACACAGACGGTTGGGAGGCCCAACTAAACGAGGCCCAATAGCTGCACCAGAGGCGCAGCATCCTGGGGCCTACCGGAAGCTTTTGGGCCCAGGCCCAGGCCCAGGCCCTCCAGGTTGTGAAGGCAGGCAGGCTCTTTCCATATAGGAAAGAGCTCACTGCCTCGCCATTCATTCGGGCACTCGCATGCTGGTGGCAGCGCTGCTGGAGCTGAAGCTCGTGGGCTGCTGCTAGCGCTGAGAGGCGAAGTGCAAGCACGTGCGGTCGTGCAAGGAGGAGGGCGCTGTTGAGGGCAGCGCCATAGCCCAGCCTCCATAGCTGGCGGGCTTGGATGTACAGTGAGGCGCAGGGGTGGTCTTCAGGTTTCAAGAGGGAAGACGTGGGAGTAAGACGAGGGGGAGAGAGAGAGAAGGATGATGATGATGATGTGAGGGCACATACCTGGTATTAGCAATGGTCTGCATGGGCGACATCTTCAAGTACTTCGGAGGCTGCTGACGTCAACAATTGCATTGTCAATTAGTAGGCCAGTAGTAGTTGTGTAGGGAGTAGGCTGGGCGCCGAGCGCCAAGTGGGGAGATAGGGACAGGATACATATGTTGGTGGTGGCGAGAGCAAGCTCTCATTAACATTGGTTTTCAGTGCTACGATTCTCCATTGGTGTCATATTGGTGCAACGCTGCTTTCTGAACACTTTGATACGA